TAATGGTCAGCTGTTGTTGGCTGTTGTTGCTTCTCTGTCCAAAGTACTCCCTTTAGCATCTCTTGTAAGATTGGTCTGGTTTTAACAAATTCTCTTTAATTTCTGCTTCTCTGGAAATGCCCTAATTTCACCATCATATTTGAGGGACAATTTTGCTGGGTACATAATTCTTGGTTGGAAATTTTTCTCTTTCAGTCTTTTATATATATATCATCCCATTGTCTTCTCACCTGCATGATTTCTGTTGAGAAATCTGTGCTTAGTCTTGTTGGTTGCCCCTTGTAGGTAACTTTTCATTTTTCCCCATGCTACTCTTATGATTCTTTCTTTGTCTTTGGTTTTAGTGAGTTTGATGATAATATGTCTTGGTGATTTTCTTTTGAGGTTTATCCTGTTTGAGGTTCATTGGACTTCCTGAATGATATATTCTCATCTTTCATCATACCAGGAAAATTCTCTTTCAACAAATCTTCAACAATTTTCTCTGTATTTTTATTTTTCTCTTCCTGTTCTAGAATTCTGATTACTTGTAGGTTATTCCTTTTGATGCTATCCCACATGAACCTTAGGCTTTCTTCATTTTGTTTTTATCTTTTTTCTGATTGATCCTTTTCCAAAGAAGTATTCAGGTATTTATTTACCTTCAGTCTCCCTAATTTCTATCTTCCATTGATTCAATTCTACTCCTTTGCCCATTCAATGTCTTATCTATTTCTGAAGCTTTAGTACTAATCTTCTGGATTTCTGTGTGTAGATTTTGTATCAGTTCTAGTTTTTCATTTATTTTGTCATTTTGTTCTTATATTGTCTTTTGAAATTGTTCTAGGGTTTTCTCTGTGTTTTCCTTCATCTGTCTCTTAATTCGTTGAAGAAACCTAAATATAATTCTTTTGAATTCCTTATTAGGGAGTTCCAATGCTGCATCTTCCTCAGGGATGTGTTTTGGGTCTGTATCCTGGTCCCTTGTTTCTCCTGCTTTATCTTGCTTCTTTGTGTGGACTGTGATGCTCTGTTGTCTCCGAGGCATTGTGACGTTTTTGTGTTTATGTTTAATTGGTGATTATATGTTGGAGTGACTTGCCCACAATTTTCATTTTCTTTGTTTTGTTTGTATGTTATCTATGCAGGCAGGGTACTGTGCTGTGCTTCTCTATTCACTAGCTGACAGCACTTATACACTCACCACCTGTCTCCTTTCCTGTTGTCATCCTCTCATATGTCCCTGCTGACCTTGACAAACAGAGCCTATTCTTAGGTCCCTGGAATCCAAATGAGAATGCTATCACTTTAAAATCCAAAATGGCTGCCACTTGTAAAGATTAAAAATGGCTGCTTCCTCAGTCACTTTACATATCCAAAATGGCCACTGCTCATAAACATTCCAAATGGCTGTGCCCTTGGTCACATTGAATAACCAAAATGGCTGTTGCATGTAAACAATCAAAATGGCTGTGCCCTCTGGACAGCGGAAAGTCAAAACTCAGGTTGTCTCCCTCTTTGCTGTTTCCCTTCCTAGTCACAGGCTACCAGCCCACATCCCTGCAGCCTTTGATGACAGGGCTGATCCCCAGGTCAACTCTCAGGTCCCAACATCACTTGGAAATATTCAGGCTGTTGGTCCTGTCAGAGTAACTATAGTCCGCAGCTCCGACGGTCTCTGTACTCACTGTTTCTGTTCAGGTTTTTCCACTAGTTGGTGCCTAATCCACTTCTGCATAGCTCCTTTCAAATCTCAGGGCTCCAGGATTATCTTCTGTATCTCTGTCAATTGGTTTTTCTTTTCTTTGTTGAAGAGGGTCTGTGTTGCTTGTCTGCCTATTCCTCCATCTTACCAGAAATCTGATCAATGACATTTATTTTTAAAAATATGCTTAGTTAATATCTTTCAACAAATGCTTGTGGAATGATTATGGTGGCTAGGAACTGGGGTTACTGACATTATCTGGGCCTGAGATGCTCTTCTTCCTTCTCCCACCCTACACCTGTCTATCCCCTTCTGCCCTCCCCTCTGGTGAGCCTGCTAAGCTCACTCTTTGCTCCCAGGTTTTCTGTCTCCCATTTATGCCAGGGATCCTTCCTGCACTTCTATTGTGGTTCCTCTCTCATACTCCCTCCAGTCCCTATGGAACTGTTTGGAGAAAAAAAACACAACACTGGCCATCACATGGCAGCCTGGCCATGAGGCTTGACCACCCTTGGACACCAATGGGGCTTAAGGTCCTGGTCAGACTTCTCAGTGCCCCCTGATGCCAACACCCACTTCCAGCCCATGTTTTACTTGGGAGAAGAGAAAGTTATGGCCGAGGAGGAAGTGGTATTATGGAGTTGAGAGAGAGAGAGAGGAACAATCATTTTTATTTCACCATTGTTTCCTACTAGCCTTTCACAGCTTTGCAGCATGAGGAGATAACTAAAAATGAGGAAGAGGCTGGACACAGAGTATCTGAGAAGAATCACAGAGTCCCCTGGATCTTCAGTCCAGCCCCAGGCTTGAGGTTGTTCTAAACCCAGTTGTAGATCCTGCAGACAGAAGGTCCACACAGAGGCCAAGGCCTCTTGTTTCCTTCCCAGGTGAGGTCTTGCCTTCCTCAGCTCTTTCATCTCAGACACGCTGGGGTTGTGAGGCTGAATCTGACACAGCTCCTGGTTCCTTCTCCTCAGGGGTTTCCCTGTTCTCTAGCTTTCCTGCCCCCATCCCAGCTGAAGAAGAGGATTCATGGCTTGGAAAGGCACACATCTGCTGGCCCTCATACTGGTGGTGCTCCTAGCCTCAGGTGAGGGGCAAGGGGACAGGAACAGCACCAGAGGAGGGAAGGAGGGAGAAGTGAGGTGGTGGGTGAAGGGGGCTACAAGGAGGAGAAGGAGAGGAGGGGCAGGGTGGTACTGTGGCCAGAGGCCAGCTCTGGGCACATTCTGGCTGTTGGCACAAAGGGAGCTTCCAAGGGTGGCCCCCATCTCACAACCTTGCAGTGGAAGTTGGGCCAAGCTAGGCCCCCTGACCTGAGGGTTCATTCTCAGAATCCTGGGAACAGAGACCAGTGTTGCTGCAGAAACTAGAAGGTGAAACCATCTCCTTGAAATGCCCATACCGGATCTCAGAAGATTCAAACAAGATGAAAACCTGGTGCAAGAAAACATCGGAAAATGTGTGTATACGATTAGTCACCAGCTCCAGGTCCCAGGCACAGGAATCTCGGTACTCAATCCAGGATGATCGTCGATCAGGCTTCTTCAAAGTCACCATGACTGGGCTCAGGACAACAGACTCTGGATTCTATTCTTGTGGAACCTACAATTCTTTGATGTCAATTGTCTACACTCTCAAAAACTTCCATCTGATAGTATCTCAAGGTGAGTTCTTTCCTTTTTCGTGTATGGATCTCAGACTCTCTGAATCACAGGATGTTAGAATTGGAAAGGACCTTAGAAAAATTTTCCTCCTACCCTCCTGTTGAGGGACAGTGGTTGTTCAGTGCTAGAATTCTCACCTTCCATGCAGGAGATCTAGTTTCGATTCCCAGCCAACGTACCTCATGTACATACAACCACTACCTATCTGTCAGTAGAGGTTGTGTGTTGAGGCTAAACAAGTTTCAGAGGAGCTTCCAGACTGAGATGGGGCTAGGGAGAAAGGCCTGCTAATTGACTTATGAAAATCAGCCATAGAAAACCCTATTCATCACAGGGGTCTGATCTGTTGTTGATGATGGGGATGTCAGAGGCCGACTTGACAGCAGTTAACACAACAATAACAACACTCTTATAGCAAAAAAAAAAAAAAAAAAAACTGGGGCACAGAGAAAGGGCCTTGCCCAAGGTCACCCACTGGTTAATGGCAGAACCAGCACCAGCCTCAAGCCTATTGACTTTTAGTTGATACTTCCTTCTATATCACATGAATTCCTCTTAACATTTTTGTTGCTGTTCACAGCCTCCTTGGTATATTGGCAATGATCTTAAAGCACAGCTGGCTCAATGGTCCATTTCTGAGCCTTCTTACATTTGACCCTAACCCCCAACCTTCTCTCAAAGGGATGAACTACAAGGTTGCTGAGTGTGGTCAAGGAATGTGGACAGACAAGGACATACCTGGGTAGTAGGGTACAATAAGACTTTGAGAGTGAGGCAAGGTGGTGTAGCAGCCTAGGGTTCAGCAGTCCTGAACCCTCATCCTAGACCTGCCCCTAACAGTTGAGAAACCTTGAACTGCAGAATGGGAAGTTTGGTGTTTTCATTAACCCTGAGGCCCTCAGGTATTTCACCCGAAGGCTGGAGAGTTGCAAAGCCTGCCAACGTTTCTCTGTGATGGTCAGGGCTTAAATGGCACCTTCTCAGACGTTCTCTCTGCTCTGACCTTGCCCAGACAATTGGTCATCTAGAGGACCCAGATCAGCTTCTTGGTTATTCACTGCCCAAGCTTTGTCTCAATGTAAGGCACAGGGCTAGGCTCTGGAAGCCTTGAGATCCAGTCCTGTGCTGGGGGAGACCACAGCCTGCTCAGGAAGACAGACATGTAAATAAAGGGTTATGATAGAGAGTGGTAAGTAGTGTATTAGAAACATGTTAGATGGAGGCCCAGCAAAGGGAGGTATCAGTTGCCTAGAAGACTCCATAGAGGTGGTGATACTACTTGGACTTTGTTGGATAAGCAGAAATTTATCCAGGGGAGACAACAGAAGTGATGGTGGGAGGTATTATAGGTTAGAAGTGCATTCAAAATCAATGAAAACAGAAGAGACTGTAGATCTACCCTTTATACAATGACATTGTGACACCTAATCTAAAGCCTCTCTCACATATTCTGACATTCATTGTGCTAGAAATACAACACTCAGGAAGATGTCACCATTCATTTGCAGGGAGTCTGATGCTTCTTTAGAGTCCTTTCCTGGCCCAGGGCCACCAGTACGCCCTCCTGCTCAAGGCTGGGCTGGAAGTGGGAAGCCCTGAAGTGTGGGGCAAACAGGTGGGAGTGCTCCCCTCACTGTTGTCTCTTACAGTTTCAACCCCATCCACCACCAGGAGCACTGTGAGGATCACAGTCCGAGCCTCTGTCACCAGCTTTGCCACTGACAGGTACTGCTACTGCCCTTGTCCTCCCAACCTTCCATTTCCTCCCACCCTTTGCCCCGTACCAAACACCCTCACCTACGCAGGAAGAAAGGCCTGTACTTCCAAACAATCAGCCATTGAAAACTCTATAAAGCACAGTTCTGCTCTGACACACATGGGGTGCCATGAGTCAGAATCTTCTTGAGAGCAACTGAGAAGAGAAAAAAAAAAAAAAAAAAAAACCAACAAAAAGCTACACTGTCATAGATACTGGCTCTTGTGGGATAGAGTGGGAGTCAAACAGGTCACTTTAGGTCACTTATATCTCTCAGTCTCAGTTTCCTCATTTGCAAAATGGAACTAATAACACTCTCACCTTACAGCAGGGTTCCTCACCCTTGGTACTATTGATAATTGGGATTAGAAAATTCTTTCCTGTGGGAGGATGTCTTGTGCATCATGGATGTTTAGCAGTATCTGTCTTCTCTACCCAGATGCCAGTAGTAGTACCTCTGGCCTCGCCCCTGTCAGAGACAACGTTCATTGGAGACAACAAAAAATATCTCCAGATATTATCCAATGTCCCCCAGGGGGCAAATTACCCGTGGTTGGGGGCCACTGCTTACAGAGTTGTTGTGAGGACTAAATGAGACTATGGGTTCAAAGGGCTTAGTACAGAGCAGGTGTGTGACCAAAGCTGCTGCTTTTACCTCTTTGCCACTTCCAGCCCTTCTCTTTCAGTAAGAGCAGAAGAGCTACTGCAGAGTCACCATGGTTCTAGGGAAAGGGCACACTCTGTGTTACTCTGTCCCATGCCTGACTTCTTTTCTACCCCTGTCTGGTGGTTTCCAGGCTCCAGCCACTGTAACTGGTGTGATAGATTTTTCTCTTCTGGGCTTTGCCCTCCCCAACCCTCTCTCTCCCCAGCATCACTGTGGATGATGAATGCTGAGCTCTTGCAAACCACAGTTTCTTGCTTCAGGAGATTAAACCAGAAACCCAGTGGTGCTGGTCAACTGAGCTGAGAGGTGTCTCTCTCCTCTTTGACCAGTGAATCCCCAAACATCTTCTGTAATAAGTGTCTGCTCTGAATCAAAAAGGAGCTCTGGTGATGCAGTGAATAAGGCATTTGGCTGCTAACCAGAAGGTCAGTGGTTCCAGCCCACCAGCCACTCAGCAGAAGGAAGATGGAGCAATCTAATTCCATAAAGATTTACAGTCTCAGAAACCCAATGGGGCTTGCTATGAGTCAGAATCAACTTGATGGCAGTGAATTTGGTTTTGGTTTTCTGGGTCAAAAATACCAGAAAGATGTTTACCTGTGTTTTATTGACTATCCAAAGGCATTCAATTGTGTGGAAGATAACAAATTATGGATAACATTGTGAAAAATGGGAATTCCAGAACACTTAATCATACTTATGTGGAAGCAGTACAAGAGGCAGGCATTTGAATAGAGTAAGGGATTATTGCATGGTTTAATTAAGGAGCTCTGGTGGCATACTGTCTAAGGCATTTGACTGCTAACCAGAAGATTGGTAATTGAAACTCACCAGCCACTTTGTGGAAGGAAGACTGGGCAATCTACTTCTGTAAATATTTATCACCTCGGAAACCCAAAGGGGGTTGCTATGAATCAGAATCAACTCAATGGCAGCGAGTTTTGTTTTCTTGGTTTTGCATGGTTTAAAATAGAAAAGGTGTGTGTCAGGGTTGTATCTTTCACCATACTTATTCAATGTGTATCCTGTACAAATTATCCAAGAAGCTGAACCACATGAAGAAGAATGTGACATCAGGATTGGAGGAAGACTCATTAACAAATTGCAATATGCAGATGATGCAACCTTGTTTGCCAAAAGTGAAAATGACTTGAAGCACTTACTGATAAAGATCAAAGACGGCAGCCTTCAGTATGGATTACACCTCAATAGAAAGAATACAAAAGTCCTCACAACTGGACCAATAAAACATCATGATAAATGGAGAAAAGATTGAAGTTGTCAGGGATTTTATTTCACTTGGTTCCACAATCAACACCCACGGAAGCAGCAGTCAAGAAATCAAATGACATACTGCATTGGGCAAATCTGCTGCAAAAGAAGTAAAGATGTCACCTTGAAGGCTAAGGTGTGTCTGACCCAAGCCATGGTATTTTCAATTGCTTCATATGCATGGTAAAGTTGGCAGTGAATAAGGAAAGTTGAGGAAGAATTGATGCTTTTGAATTAAGGTGTTGATGAAGAGTATTGAATATTCTGGACTGCCAGAAGAATGAAAAAGTCTGTTTTGGAAGAAGTAAAGAAGTATATCCAGAATGCTCCTTAAAAGTGAGCATGGCATGCTCGTGGATAGGAAGACTGAACATTGTGAAAATGTCAGTTCTACCCAAAGCAATCTATACATTCAATGCAATCCCAATCCAGATCCCATCAACATT